ACAGCTCCTTAGATCCATAAGGGACACACTCAGGGGGCAGACTCAGTGAGCACCAAAGCCCCACTGAAGCAAGTCTTGCCCCAGAAGTGTGTCTCCAGCACAGAAGTTCTCCCACTGTAGACACAGCTGATTCTCACAGCCAACTGGCCTGGAGGTCAATTCCTCCCAGTGATACCTACAACAATCAAGGCTTAACTACAACAAGACTGTGCACAAAGCCCACAGAGGGGTGCACCAAGAGTGTCCACTTCAGGTAATTGGGGAGGCTGAGCCACTGGGCCCTATAGGACACCTAGCACAGAAAGCCACTCTATCAACACAGGGAAGCAGCCAAAATGCGAAGACAAAGAAACAGGTCACAAATGACAGAAATGGAGGAAAGAAGACTACTGGATATAGAGTTCAAAACCAAACTTATAAGCTTTTTCAAGAATTTTCTAGAAACCACCGATAAATTTAGTGAGACCCTCAAGAAATCTAGTGAGACCCTCGAGGTTATAAAAAAGGACCAACTAGAAATTAAGCATATACTGACTGAAATAAAGGATATTATGCAGAGTTCCAACAGCAGACCAGAGGAGCGCAAGAATCAAGTCAAAGATTTGAAATACGAAGAAGCAAAAAACACCCAACCAGAAAAGCAAAATGAAAAAAGAATCCAAAAATACGAAGATAGTGTAAGGAGCCTCTGGGACAGCTTCAAGCGTACCAACATCTGAATTATAGGGGTGCCAGAAGAAGAGAGAGAGCAAGATATTGAAAACCTATTTAAAGAAATAATGACAGAAAACTTCCCCTACCTGGTGAAAGAAATAGACTTACAAGTCCAGGAAGCGCAGAGAACCCCAAACAAAAGGAACCCAAAGTGGACCACACCAAGACACATCATAATTAAAATGCCAAGGGCAAAAGACAAAGAGAGAATCTTAAAAGCAGCAAGAGAAAGACAGTCAGTTACCTACAAGGGAGTACCCATACGACTGTCAGCTGATTTCTCAACAGAAACTTTGCAGGCCAGAAGGGAGTGGCAAGAAATATTCAAAGTGATGAATGCCAAGAACCTACAACCAAGATTACTTTATCCAGCAAAGCTATCATTCAGAATTGAAGGTCAGATAAAGAGCTTCACAGATAAGGAAAAGCTAAAGGAGTTTATCACCACCAAACCAGTATTATATGAAATGCTGAAAGGTATCCTTTAAGAAGAGGAAGAAGAAGAAGGTAAAGATACAAATTATGAACAACAAATACACATCTATCAACAAGTGACTCTAAAAATCAAGTGAATAAATAATCTGATGAACAGAATAAACTGGTGATTATAATAGAATCAGGGGCATAGAAAGGGAGTGGACTGACTATTCTTGGGGGAAAAAGGGGTGTGGGGGGTGCGGGAAGAGACTGGACAAAAATCGTGCACCTATGGATGAGGACAGTGGGGGCGGGGTGAGGGCAGAGGGTGGGGGGGGAACTGGGTGGAGTGGAGCTATGGGGGGGAAAAAAGAGGAACAACTGTAATAATCTGAACAATAAAGATTTAATTTTAAAAAAAAGTGAAACGAGACCACCAACTTACACCATACATAAGAATATACTCAAAATTGATAAAAGACTTAAATGTAAGTGGTGAAACCATAAAAATGCTAGAAGAAACCATAGGCAGCAAAATCTCAGACATCTCTCATCGCAATATGTTTATGGATTTATGTCCTGGGGCAAAGGAAACTAAGGAGAAAATAAACAAATGGGACTACATCAAAATAAAAAGCTTCTGCTCAGCAAAATAGATCATCAACAAAACGAAAAGGGAGCACACTGTATGGGAGAACATATTTGGCAATGATACATCTGATAAAGGGTTAATATCCAAAATATATAAGGAAGTCATACAACTTAGCAAAAGGAAGACAAATAATTCAATTAAAAAATGGCCAAAGACCTGAATAGACACTTCTCCAAAGTGGACATACAGATGGCCAAGAGTCATGAAAACATGCTCAAAGTCATTGATCATCAAAGAGATGCAAATTAAAACAATAATGAGGTATCACTTCACACCTGTCAGAATGGCTACCATCGACAAATCAACTAATGACAAGTGCTGGCGAGGATGTGGAGAAAAGGGAACCCTACTACACTGCTGGTGGGACTGCAGACTGGTGCAGCCATTATGGAAAACAGTATGTAGCTTCCACAAAAAATTAAATATGGAACTGCCATTTGACCCAGTGATCCCACTTCTAAGAATATATCCTAAGAAACCTGAAACATCAATCAGAAAGAATGCATGCACTCCTATGTTCATAGCAGCAAAATTTATAATAGCTAAGATCTGGAAACAGCCCAAGTGCCCATCAGTAGATGAGTGGATAAAAAAGCTGTGGTACATTTATACCATGGAATTCTATGCAGCAGTAAAAAGAAGAATCTCTTACCCTTTGAGACAGCATGGAGGGACCTGGAGGGTATCATGCTAAGCAAAATAAGTCAGTCAGAGAAAGACAAGTATTACATGATCTAACTCATGTGAGGGATACATGACACAACATAAACTGATGAATGGAGTGGATCCAGAGACATGGAAGCATGGAACAGAGTGTGGATTCTGGGCAGGAAGGCAGGGCATGTGGTTGCATGGGGGGTAATCAACCAAAGACCTTGTATGCGTATATGCATAACCCATGGACATAGACAACAGGGTTGTGGAGGCCTGGGACAGCAGTGGGTTAGAGGGAGTAAATGGGGGGTGGGATTTGTAATATTTTCAACATAATGATTTATTTTTTTAAAATCAAATTCCGTCTTAGGCTTTTAAAAAAATCATATATGAGTATTTATTCTAATAATGCTGGCAGTGTGGGAGAGCAGCAGGTCATCCACAAAATCTGCTCTGCTCACATCTTACGTTTTTCTTTTTTCTAAAATAGATTTTTATTGATTTCAGAGAGATAGGGAGAGGGAGAGAGAGACAGAAACATCAATGATGAGAGAGAATTATTGATTGGCTGCCTCTTGCATGCCCTTCATTTGGGATCAAGGCCCCAACCCTGGGCATGTGCTGACTGGGAATCGAACCCTGACTGCCTAGTTCATAGGTTGACGCTCAACCACTGAGCCACGCTGGCCAGGCATGTCTTATGTTTTTAAGGAACAAAGAAAAGAAAGTATAAGAGAGCTTTTGTGTTCTAAGTCATGTGTGATGAGTAAATATTTCAAATTCAAAATTCATCAAATACTTACTGAGCAACTACTAAATGTCAGGTAAGCTAAACATTGTAGGAATTTAAAAGCTAGTCAAACCTGACTCATGGTCCTTAAGTAGCAAACAATCTCAAGGAAGAGTGTGGGAATAAGCTAAAACAAGAACCTAACATCCTAACAACAAAATATGTGACTATGGCAAGGGCCACATAGGGAGGAAAGCACTCTCAGAGCACATCCAACTAGGCTGTGTTCCACTCTGCAATCCAGAGGGTGAAGGGGAGGCAAAAGGAGCACCAATGTTTCCTCTCTGATCTGAAGACTAAAAAGGACCAGGTAGGACCACCATGAAGGACAACTGGCCAGCAGAATACTCACTTCTACAACAGATGGGAAAAACTCACTGCCAACAAATTATATATATATTTTTAAATTTGCCTGAAACACTATCTGCTATACTGCATAATGTAATAAAACTTATCTAAATCAATGAAGTGGCAGTTATATTTTTGCATAAAGTTTACAATTATAGTTTTGGACAATATATGGTTCCAATCATTATCTCAGATCAATAAATGCTAAACTTAAGTCCTCACTTAAAAACCTAAATGTAAAAAGTGAAAGCAAACATTAAAGTTTGAGTAAGTTTAAATGGCTCACCTGTCACTAAAGAAAGCATATTCAAACTATTAGGTAAATAATCTGCATATTAATTTAATTCTATACTAGTCATACATCATGAAATAGTCTTCGTCACAAATTAGTAAACACTAAATTTTAGTATTTTCTTTAAAAATCACTGAATAAACAGGAGCAGCCTAAATACTGCCATAATCAAACGAGGGCTTCATGAGTGGGGCTTTCTGGGGTCCTGGTAAAGTCCTGTTTCTTGAACTGGGAGCTGGTAATATGGTTCACTGTGTGAAACACACCAGTAAGATATGAAATATATTACTAGTATTTTGAAAGTATGCAGGACATCATTTGATATTATCAAAGGACCATAATTTTAAAGCTATAGTAGCAGTTAAAGATTACCTAATCTAATCATCTAATCACTTACAGGTGAGAGAATTAAGGTCCATTAACTTGTCCAAAGTCAAGCTGGGGGATACAACTCAACTACATCTCCAACCCTCACGTGTAGTTAGCTGTAGCCACACAACCAAGACTAGGGTATAAGTGCTGGATGCTCCCACTAGGCCCAGTCCATAAAAACTTCCTATGAGCAAATCTCCATGTGCTCCCCCTTCTGTTTTGAAACAGAAGGATTCAGAAACTTTGGAAGTCTTATGTTAAAGAGAGTGAAATCTCAGCATGAAAGAAGCTTGGGTCCTTGAATCACCACTTGGAGGGCAGTTGCCTGTCAATCACAACTCCTATTTGAACTTAATTTGGATTGTGTTAAACCAATGAGATTTGGGGATTTTATGTATTACAATAGAGTTATCCTAAGTAATATATCTACATTTATTTTCTTTCAAATAATTAATTTAAAGAATCCATATAAATCTTCAGAATGAGAACAGCTTCACTATTTACTAGCTGCATGACCACTGGCACATTACTTAAACTCTCTGAGCCTCAGTTTCCTCTATGAAATTGAGATAATTAGGAGTATCCACTTTAGAGTTTTGAAGTTTCAATGAGATCATCTTCACAGATTAGCACAGTACCTGGTGCATAGGAAATGTGCAATAAAAGTTAACTATTATTATTGCCATGTGTGTGCATATTGTAAACACAGCATTTTAAACTTAAACAAACAAGCACTTTCTTCCCGTCTTTCATTCTCAGACCTTTTATGGGACTAAGGTGATGGCATGAGTCCTCCTTGATGATCTGTTCTTCTTCCATGATATTTGACATTGGAACATTAAGGCTAACAGTGTCTTCATCAGAAGGCTAGAAAGAAACAAGGCACTGCTTCATTCAAGGAGAAGTGTTAGCATGTAGATTAAGAGAATGCTATATGGTTAAAAAAAAAACAAAAGTGTTTTTAATATTGAGTAAAAGACACCAGATACAAAGGACAATTCATTTACATAAGTTTAAAAACAGGCAAAACTAATCCATGGTATTGAAGTCGGGATAGTGGCTGCTCTTGGGTGAGTGGGTGGGCACATGAGTGGGGCTTTCGGGGGTCCTGGTAAAGTCCCGTTTCTTGAACTGGGAGCTGGTAATATGGTTCACTGTGTCAAATTTATTGAGCTAACACTCATATACTTCTCTGTACATGTTTTGAGCTGAAATTTGACCAGGTGCCTGGTGATATTTGCTAACCTAAGAGCCATAGTCCGGGTACTAAGAAGGACTGTGCAACACCTGACAGAACAAGGAATACTTGCAAATATGTCACCATAGGAGTCCTACATCGAATCAACCATTTTAACAGTGACATTACTGTGAACTCTGACAACACTAATTTACCAAAACTCCATTAAGATTTCATGTGGCTCTTCACAGAAAGCAGACAGTCAACCTCTGTGACAATATCTCATTTATTTACAGTGCACTTTACGTGCTTTATAAATTAAGTTTCAGTTTATTTCCCTGTTTTAGGATGAGGCTGCTACATTAAACATATAAAAGTGCTAAATGATTTTGTGCAATTTTTGGAGTAACACTGCAATTTGGTAATTGGAGTAAGTTTTTTGTGCGAGTATTGTTTCCGATACCAGTTGATGAAGTTTACTCAGAAAATGTCTGATTCTATTACAAATAAAATATGGAGCCTCATTTATCTTCCTACTAGAGGCCTGGTCCCTCAGCCCAGCCTGCACTCTCTCCAATCTGGGACCCCTTGGGGGATGTCTCACTGCCAAGGACAGATGTCCAAAAGTAAATGTCCTACCAGCAGTAGGACATCCCTCTCACAATCTGGGACTGCTGACTCCTAACCACTCGCCTGCTTGATTGCCCCTAACCACTTCTGCCTACTAGCCTGATACCCGCCTAACTGCTCCCCTGCAGGCCTGATTGACGCCTGTTCCCCTGATGGCCCAACTGCCCCCAACTGCCCTCCCATGCCAGCCCGATGGCCCCCAATTGTCCTCCCTTGCCAGCCCAATGGCCCCCAACTGCCCTCCCCTGATGACCTGATGGCCCCCAACTGCCCTCCCCTGCAGGCCCGATTGCCCCCAACTGCCCTCCCCTGCCAGCCTGGTCACCCCCAACTGCCCTCCCCTGCCAGCCTGGTCGCCCACAACTGCCCTCCCCTGCAGGCCCGATCGCCCCCAACTGCCCTCCACTGCTGGCCCGTTCACCCACAACTGCCCTCCTCTGCCGGCCATCTTCTGATGGCCATCTTGTGATGACGTGGGGGTGGCCATCTTGTGATGACATGAGGGCGTTGCACGAGGGCGTGAGGGCCACCTAGGCTTTTATTAGTATAGATGTCTCTACCTCAGTGTTATTACTTAGTGAAGTTTTCCAAATCACAAGGACCAGAAACCTCACTTCAGCTGATTTTGGCTTGCTCCTAAATTTCTGAGGCTATGACTTTCAGAGTACAATGTTCATTTACTTTTGGACATGTACACAAATTGTGTAGAAACTAGCAGAAAATAAATGTGCATTTCCTTCATTAAACTGACGTTCAATGAGATCCCAATTTTTTGGCTTGTTTATCTTGAGAAAAATGTGTTTTTAACTTTTTACTGACAAATGCTAAAGCAATCAGATAATGGCAATAGCAATAAAGGGAACCAGGTGTGATCCTTGAACCCCACAATGAGATATAAATGGGGAGCAAGATCACCTGACCATATATGGTAACATATTGCCAAACAAAGTGAAACAGAAGACTACAATGGTTAATTCAGAACTTTTATCATTCTAAAAAACAAAATTTTGTTGGAGGTATCCTCAGGTAATGAGGCTACCATGTGAGAATTGTGCTTCTTATTCTATTGAATATAATCTTCTCTATAATCCTTCTTCCTTCCACCCTCCTCCCATCGAAAAACTCAGCAAAATTCCAAAGATATACATCTAGTTAAAAAGGAGAGAATAAACTCTTGACTTCCTCTTTTAGAATGATATTACCATCCTACTTATAGTAAGTGAGAACAGAAGGATAATGAAGTTCTTTGTGCAATGTTTCATTAATGAACTTAATTATCCTTAGAAGGCAGGTAAGGATAAAGCAGAGTCTATTTTAATTTATTAGAAATAAGCTTAGGGTGAGTAATTTCTATAACAATGGGGCATTTCAGGAGACTTAGGAATTTTAATAAAGCTAAAGGGGTTGAATTAAACACAACTTATAAAGCAATGTGTTGAGTATTTTCTCCCCCAGGGAACCATAGTAAACTATTAATGTGGCTCCATGACAGTCATTTTTCTTTTATTAACATAGCCTTTTTTCTGCCTCCTAATTCTTCTTCCTTTTGAAATATTCTAAGTATCCTAGTTTTTTTAAAACACTGCTTTATAAAGCATTTTTAAAAATAAATTAAAATACCTTAGCTATACATTACACTCAAAGGTCTGACAAGAACAGGAAATGGGCATTTTTCCTAGAGTCACACCACATATAATAAAAACATAGATTCCTTAGATGGGGTAATTGCCTATTAATTATATCTTCAAAGAGGATTATAGTGTCTCAAACTCTACAACCACAGAAACTCAGTAAGTTCCCTCACCAAGGGAAGATCTGATGCTGCATCATGCTTACTCCACCTAGCCCTTCTACCTCCCCAGGTCAAGAAGCCCCACTGAATGGTATGCTAGTGAGAGATTTGGGGAAATCCAACAGACTATGCATGAGATAATACTTGTGCTAAATAAGCTATTTTATCACCACTTGAGGAAGCTCTAGTGTTAGAGGCCTCCTTAGTTTACAAATAATTAAACTTTTTACCCAATGATCTAAAAAGAGTTCCAGGAAACAAATACTGCTATAAAAGGTATGGCTATTCATAAAAGCATTTTCTTGGGATAAACTGCTAAAATGCAATGTACATTTGATTCCTGAACATTTATGCATGCATATAACAATGTTTTCCTAAATTGCTCTGTCATTTAAAAACAATAATTTATCAAAAATGCCTCATGGATACTTGCTCATTACTTAGTCATTTCATAATATTTATTAAGCATTCAAGAAAATGTGTGTGGGGGGAGGGGAAGGAGATAGGAATCCTACTCCTGAGACATTTGCAAAATATTAAAGATTTAGAAATACCTAATATTTATATAATACTTGGAGGATTTCAAATTGCTTTCACAAACATTATCACATATTCCTATGCAGAGGGTTAAAGCCTTTTTACCAGAAAGGAGTTCAATAAGTGTAGCAGATCTATCTAGAAGCAGGGAAAGAAAAAAAATCAGGAACAGATCACAAAATTTACCTCTGTGGCCGATAATCGCTTATCTCCATTATCACTTCCAACGCCTGAATCAGAATCCTTCTTGCTGAGATAGATGCCATCAATATTGAATTCATATAAAAAAATTAAAATCACAAAGTTCACAAGATACGTCAATTTATATTCAAATAATGAGTTTGCTATACAAATTATTATTATGACAAGGCAGCACAAATCAGTTCCGTATTAAAGGATGTTAAGACAAGGGCCTAATGAAAACCAGATACTTATACTGTCTAAATGGAGCACAAAATAAATTCTTTGTGTTCAGGGTTTCATGGATTTACACTTTAATCAAGTAATTTTTTTGAAACAGTTAACAATTTTCTTATTTTACTGATTCTAGCATATAAAAAAAGAAAAAGAAAACCTTAATTGCTTTTACATCTTATGTTTTGAAATGTTGGTAATCTTGAATAATTCTGTAAACTTTAATCCAGTGACTAAATTTGATGGCATGTTTTAAAAAATAAGGAATACATATTTTAAGCAGTATATAAAGGTTCCACTAGGGTAGTCTGAGATTTTAAGTCCCTAGTTCTCTTTTTTAATAAAAAGTTAAGGAAAGATTCCTGCAGTGAAGACTTCTCAAAAACAACCTGTGTTTTATAAGTGTTCAGTGTGAGAATTTCATTCTCCAAAAATTCAAGGCCTGATTTATGCCAACAAAAGGCCAAGGACATGTGAAAGGATTCTAACACTTCCATTCTAAACAGGAAATGGCAAACTATGCATTCTGCATTCTAAAAAGACAATTAAGAAAAATAAAACCTGCAGTTTTTTTTAACAATGTTCCAGAGGCATATTAAAAAATAATAATTTTAAAAAGCCTTAATATTGTTGTTTTAATTGATAAGCAAAAGATACTTATGTTTATTTATTTTAATATGTTCTGATTGATTTTTAAAGAGAGAGGAAGGGAGAGAGAGATAACATCCATATAAGAGAGAAGCATTGATCAGTTGCCTCCTGCACAGGGGCCCAACCCACAATTTGGGCTTGTGTCCTGATGGGGAATCGAACTGGTGATCTTTTAGTTCACAGGACATCACTCAACCAACTGAGCCACCCCGGCCGGGACCCTATGTTTATATTATAGACTAGTGACCCCGCATGTGAAATCTCGTGAGACCCAGACCCATGGGAAATCGAGCGAGGCCTGAGACCCCAGACCTCACAGCACTGTGGGACACCCAGAGTCAAGTTCCTGCCCACCCTTGTGCTCAGCGTCCTGGTGACATGTCTTTGATCATAATGATGTTAGGGCCACTGGGTTTTTATAATATAGACCATATATCATATATCATGTACCATACACACACACACACACACACACACACACACACACACACACACACACGCGTGTGCACATACACACAGCACTCAAAAAGGACTGATTTTTGATTAGGAGAGAGTATACAAGACTCGAGAAATGCCAAAATGTTTTCAATAACATCAATTTTCTCTTTCCTTTTCCAAAAGTTTCTGAAACGCTAAGTTATAAATCTGCATTGGTTGAGTGAAGCAAAAAAAATTTGTTTAATTTAGTTACCTGGAATACCTTGGCCTTAGAAAAATTCTAAAAGGGGCTTTGAGCCAGGGCAGTCACACTCACCTGTCTTCCACATGCTGGTGTAATTGTGGCCTCTCCATCGTGTGCAGATAGAGAGAGTCAGTTGCTTTAATCTGACAGGCTTGTATGCTCAGATACTTGAATATGTGCACTTTTCCCTTTGTGCAAATCTATGGAAAAATTAATAATACTTATCTATTTTTAATGGCAAAACAAAGTATAAACACTAGATATCCGACTCTGTATATTATAATTTTTGCCTTTTCATTCTAAGAAACACTTCAACAATGCACACCAAATTTGACCTCTACAAAACATATAAAAATTTAGGCAGTAATTTTCTCCAAATTCCACTTTGAATAGAAAATCATACTCAAGCAATGTACAGTCTTTTTTTAAACTAAAATGCAAAATCCTAACAGAAATGTGTTTAAGTATAAATATATGAAAAATATAGAAGTCAGCTAACTGACCTGAAAAAATTTCAATTCTGGAAGCATATATATTTCATTTTTTTTCTCACAGCTTAATATTTGAACTTGAATCTTGTCTCTAAATAACCAATAATTATATTTCAAAATACTTAAGCTCCATTTCCCAGCTAACATTAAGATAAGGACAATATTAATTTTTTACTCCATGAAAAAGTTTCAAATATATGTACAAATAATAAAATAATCAAACATAATTCTGGATTGCGGCAATCAGAATAGTGAGCCCAATGCTGGCAAATGAACTTGGGGTAGAGAAGACAACTTATTGTAGTCAGATGCACCCAAGGTTTCATATTTTTAGAGACTGTAACTGCTTATGATCATGTCTAATGCAACATTAAATCAGCAGAATATTAACAAACTGGCTCTGGCAAGAGTTGCCTGAGCACATTGATAGCATATCCCACATATCTTTGCCAGACCCCTCACCTGTGCTGGAGGAGACTGCAAAGGGTTATTTTCAAGTAGTAATACTTGCAGCTGCTTCATCTCTCTAAAACAAATGGGAATCACGAGCACTTTATTGCAGGAAAAGTCAAACTTTACCAAGGGAAGATCTACTAGTTCTAAAGGAACAGAAAAAAGAGAAAAAAGAAGAAAAAGAAAAAAACAAAACTCAGAAAAGCAACAAGATTAAATGGCCAAACATTCAGAAATTTATTTTCTGCTTATCAGTAGAAATGTCATTTAGCACAATCAAAAGCAAGTTGTTCATTAGGAATATATAATATTTGCATAGACATAATATTTTAGCAAAAGGGAGGGGAAACCTTTCATTGGGAGTCCAATACATCTGAATTGTTGTTAGTTCTGAGAAGAGCTGAAAATACGTGATATTTACAATATTTATGTTTAAAATGCTTTTATCCTCCTAGCAAAACAATCACATAAGTCACACCACACAGAATATGTTTTAACTTCAAAATGTTTTCAAGCAGTACTATGGTAGGCAGTTAGACATGAGCAGAGCAAGAATGATGGGCCAGGTAGAGAAGGTCACCAGTGTGCAAAGCCTCCCCCCACCACCCCCATGCTTAGCAAGGTCCCTGGGTGGGACCTTGCCCCCAGGGTGACCTTTCCTCCCTTAGCATAGGACTTGTCATGTGGTTTAGAACCCCTGACCTTCCCTCCCTAGAGATAACGTCTAGATTTCAGTTGCATTTCAGCTCCAGGCCCAGATAAGTACCAAAACTAGACAAGCAACCCCGTGGCAGACCTCAGGACCAGCTGAGTTGGATAATGACCCCTAGGCCACCAATCAATCAGTGGAAATCCTAACCCTGAAAGGACACACCTGGAAAGCTGCTGAATATCCTATTGAGATCATCTCCTGGGACATCACCTAAAAATCTCCACCCTTAAATCCCTTAGCATGGAGAACCTAAGGGTTGCCTTCCTCCTGGGAGCATGCCTGCACCTTTCCCCTTCCTCTCCCTTTACCCCTCCCCACAGACATGTTACCTTTCTCACTTTTAAAATCCAAGGCCCTCCCTTTACCTCCATAACTAGTTTCATTATCCCATTTCTTCTACAAATTACTTCTTCTACCTCTGTGATTTTCTAAATAAATATTCTCTTGTAGTTTGAGTCTTGACTTTGAATTCTTTCTTAGCCAGAATGCAAGTACCAAGGTTGCTGAATCCAGGTCCAGTCTGAACCCACATGGTGCCATTCTGGACACTGCCAACAGTACTTGATAACATATGAATAATATGCTAAATATAAAATATTCTTATCCGTTTAATGTATCAAGGCTGGCATGACCTCAGAACTAGTTACAAGAAATATGTTCATTTTTTTTAACTCCACTTTAAAAAATAAATGCTATCTAATTCAGAATTTGCAATGAACCCTATAATCCTGATTAGATAGGGCTTTATTCTGCTTTAAAAAAAAAAAAAAAAAAAAAAAAAAAAGCCTGGTGCATGAAATTTGTGCACTGGGGGAGGAGGGGGGGAAAGGGGGGGGTGGTCCCTCAGCCCAGCCTGCCCCCTCTCACAGTCTGGGAGCCCTCAGGGGATGTCCTACTGATGACTTAGGCCCCATGAGGAGTGGACGGGACCTAAGCCGCAGTTTGGCCACGGAGGCTTGAAGCAGGCGCCCTGTGTGTGTGTGTGTGTGTGTGTGTGTGTGTGTCTGCTGGGAGCCTGCCCCCAGCCGCATCTCGGAGGCTCGGAGCAGGCGCCCCTCTGTGTTGACCTCTCAGGCTCAGTGAGAGCTGGGCCCCTCCTCGTGAGCTGGTCATGACTGTGACGGAGTCTTGACCTCATTTGCATATTACTTCCTTTTTTTAATACATATATAGATATAGATACAGATATAAGATATTTCTATTGATTTCAGAAAGGAAGGGAGAAGAGAGACAGAAACATCAATGATGAAAGAGAATCACTTATCAGCTGCTTTCTGCACACCCCCAACTGGGGACTGAGCCTGCAACTGGGAATCAAACCTCAACCTCCTGGTTTATAGGTCAATGCTCAACCACTGAGCCATGATGGCCAGGCTTTATTCTGCTTTTAAAAAGTCTTCTGTAGCTCCACAAACAAGACAGAACATTATATTTAGCTTAAAATACCCACCCAGTAGCATAGTAAACACTCAGTAATTTCAAGCATTCCAACCGACACTGGCAGCTGCAAGAAACAAGTCAAATATATTCCATACAACAACGAGGCTGAGCCAGGCCAAACATGTAGGTGGCATGGGACAAACCACTAGGATCTCTGCGTCAGAGGCTCCGGAGGGTTCATTTCAAAACAGCCTTGCCACATTTGTTATGGAACCTGGTAAGGGTTGAAACATGGTACTTTCAAATACTCAAGGATTCCAAAGAGGAGGATGGGCAGAAACTATAAATAGAAGAGGAACCAAAGGCAGTGCCCTGGAGTAAGAATTAACACTATTCCTCCTCCCCACCTAGATTGCCCCAGGGTTTTCACTTCTCTAAACTATACTAACTTTCAAGTTCCACCAAGAGCCACTAGCAACCAGTATCTCTTCTCCAGAATACTACTCCCTCTGGGTTGAAAAGAACTTTCCTTCTTTCATGCCTTAGTGACTACCTTGTATTAAAGAAAGGAGTCATGGGACTGCAATGCTAAAAATAAGGCAGAAGAACATGGAACTCAGCAGGTCCCAAACTCAGGTCCAAGATGGGCAGCTGGGTTAGAGAACTCAGGAAGTGTACTCTTTAAATTGCCTTGAATTCACTGTTCAAACCCAGCTCTCCGGGCCAATAGCAGGATAAATTATTTGCCTCAGCACACACTGTGCTGGTGATTGCCTTGAAGAAAGGGCTTTGAGCAGAAGGAGGTGGAGAAGAGAGGGAGGAACAGTTTGGAATCCAGAAAGTCAAAAGAAAAAAAAAGGGGAAAGTAAGCTCCTTTTTCACTTCATATTTTTTTTCTAAAACATTAAGAATTAGGGGGGTTATTTATAAAAAGAGTACAGTATCTGCTTGCTGTAACCTCTAGTAATATTAATCCTCCTCTGTGATGATTAACTTTACTCATGAAACTTAGGTTAACAAAAGAGTGGCAATTTTTTTTTAAAGAAAAGTTTATTGATTTTTTTAGAGAGAGAGGAAGGAGGAGGGAGAAAGAGAGAAAAACATAGGCCCCCTACCAGGAATCGAGCCCACAACCTGGGCATGTGCCCTGACTGGGAATCGAACTGGCAACCTCCTGGTGCAAAGGAGGACACTCAACCAACAGAGCCACACCGGCCAGGGCAACAGTGGCAAATTTAAATTGGACTTGGGATCTTCAGGAATTATTTGCCACTTAAAAGGAAGACTTTTTAAAGCAAAACCAAGGGCTGAATTCCTGGAAGACATAGCAGGAGGGAAGGGAAGGCCACTTACAAGTAAATAAAGCAGGAATAGCAATGACCATCTTAGTTTAGGAAAACTAGAACCTGACAGTTTCATAATAAGAAATTGAAGGAGAAATGACAACTCCAGCCCAGGAAAGGTCAAAACAAACAGCAGAAAAAGAGAGTGGGTGCGGGGGGGTGTAAAGGAATCTCACTTTTCTGTCTGTTTTAAAGAGGGACAATGAGCCCGGCCGGGATGCTCAGTGGTTGAGCATCAACCTATGAACCAAGAGGTCACCGGGTTCCATTCCTGGTCAGGGTGTTCAGGAGGCAACTGATTGCTGTTTCTCTCTCTCTATTCCTCTCCTTCCCCCTCTCTCTAAAATTAATACAAACATTTTTTTATTTATTATTTTTAAAGAGGGACAAAAGCCCTAGCCAGCTTGGCTCAGGGGATAGAGTGTCAGCCTGTGGACAAAAGGGTCCTGAGTTCAATTCTGGTCAAGTGCACATACCTCGGTTGAGGGCTCCTCCCTGGCCTGGGCCCTGGTCAGGGTGCATGCAGGAGGCAACCAATCAATGTGTTTCTCTCACATTGATGTTTCTGTCTTTCCCTCTCTCTTCTACTCTCTCTAAAATCAATGGGAAAATATCCTCAAGTAAAGATAAAAAAAAAAAAAGAGGGCCAATGAATGGTTACTTTAATCCTGTGTGTGTTCTGGCCCTAGGAAGAATAAAACATAGTCTCCTCTTTGCAGCCGTGACATAAAACTGTTACGGATAATTAGGCCACAAACATTCCCCTCCTCAAACTGAAAGCATATGAGGAGGGATTCTCAAGAAGGAAAAACAAGTAAGTAAATATGGAAGGTCTTTAAGATCCCTGCCTGAAAGCATTATCAATGCTCTTTTGTTAACAGAGTTCTCCAGAGTGAAGCAAAAAGAAACTTGATATTTGGAGAGAAAAAAATTTTAATGCTTTTCCGGTACACTGTTGTTTTAGCTTTGAGTGGATTTTAAAATATTGAACCTGAGTAAACATAATTATGGAAAGTATAGAAATTTTTAACTGATCTTTTTAGGGAAAGGAATGCTTTTAAGGTAAGACAGTAAGTAGTGGTGAAAGAAATAAAAATCTTAATTTTGTAGATGCACTTTCCACACATTTCTATACTATTACAAGGCAACAGTAAAAAAATTAACTTTCCCTTTTGAAAAGAATAAATGATTTGTGATGATTTCTCAGTGATTCACATGAGAGCTTATATATGCTTATAAATTATACTCATGGCCCAGTGCACGAAATTCGTGCACGAGTGTGTGTCGGGGGGGGTGTCCCTCACCACAGCCTGCACCCTCTACAATCTGGGACCCCTTGAAGGATGTCCATCTGCCAGTTTACAGGGATCAGGCCTAAACTGGCAGTCGGACATCCCTCTCGCAATCTGGGACTGCTGACTCTTAACCTCTCGCCTGCCTGTCTGCCTGATTGCCCCTAACCACACTGCCTGCGACCTGCTCGCCCCCAACTGTCCCCCCTGCTGGCCTGCTCACCCCCACTTTTCCTCCCCACTGGCCTGCTCATCCCCAACTGCCCCCCTGCTGGTCTGCTCACCCCCAACTGCCCACCCCCACTGGCTTTATCACCCCCAATAGCCCCCCCCCACCAGCCTGATCATCCACAACTGCCCTCCCCTCTTGGCTTCTAAGCACCTCTACCTCAGCCCCCCACTATGGCTTTGTCCAGAAGAACATCCGGAAGGTCTCCTGGAAGGTCTCCCAGTCTAATTAGCATATTACCTTTTATTAGTATAGAGGCTGGTGCACAGGTGGGGGCTGGCTGGTTTGCCCTGAAGGGTGCCCCTAATCGGGTTGGGGGTTCCCTTGGGGCAAGGGGCCTGTGGTGGTTTGCAGGCCAGCCACACCCCCATGGGCTGAGGGTCCCCACTGGGGTGGCATGGCCAGCTTGCGTGAGGTGCTGAGGGCTGTTTTCAGGCTGGCCATACCCCCTTCAGGGTGGGGGTCCCTGCTAGGGTGCCTGGCCAGCCTAGATGAGAGGATGATGGCTGTTTGTAGGCTGGCCACAGCCCCTTCAGGGTGGGGGTCCCCACTGGGGTGCCTGGCCAGCCTGGATGAGGGGCTGATGGCTGTTTGCAGGCTGGCCAAGCCACCCAGTGAGGACCCTCACCCCATGGGGGTGTGGCGAGCCTGGGTGAGGGGCTGAGGGCCAGTTTTCAGGCTGGCTATGCCCCCCTAGGGACTCAGGCCCCCAGCCCCTCCTTGAGCAGAGGCCAGGGCTGGCGGGAAGCTTGGCTTCCTCCGTCGCAGGAGCAACCCAAGCCACCTTCTCGCTCCAGTTCCTGACGGCCGCCATCTTCAGTCGTCTTCAGTCTTCGCTCTGCTTGCATAAGCAAATTAACCACCATCTTTGTTGAGTTAATTTGCATACTCATCTGATTGGCTGGTGGGCGTAGTGGAATGACACCAATCTGCATGTTTCTCTTTTATTAGTGTAGATGCTTATAAATTATAAGTAAGAGTTTTCTCTTTGTACTTGCTCAAAGGAAGAAAAACAATTTCAAACATTAAAAAATGGGATTGCAGTGACAAAATGAACCATCTATATTTTTATACCAAGTCATCTCAGGTAATCAATCTTTATGCTGAAATACTTACTAATTCTACTTCTTTAAAATGCTAGTCCATATGAAAAAGGTGAAGATGGCAGACACTTAAACCTTCCATTTATAAAGTGTATTACATTTCATAAAGTTCTTTCTCTTTTATGAGTGCCATATTCTTGCCTCGAATAATGAAGCATTTCAAGTCAAAGATCAAGAAGCAGAAACAGAATAGTAAAAATCAAGCAGCTTTCAAACAGCAGTATTAGTGTCAGATTAACCAAATGCTGACTGTTTCCAAATACATATGTTTGTGCTCTGAGGCATATTTTTTAGCATATGTTTGAAATCAGGTAAGCCTGGTGTCCTTAAATGCAAAGGCTGGAAATCAGTGTTCTTTGAAAACCAGAGGATGTTTTGGAGGAAGCATTGTGTTCTACTGCTCACCTCATTCCTGATTCAGATCCAAATAAGAATCCCCAAAATATGAAATTCTGATCTTCTACCACCCAAAAGGCTGATTGCCAACATTCTTAATTATACAAAATTCCTGAATAAATATGTCTTTTGATTTGAACTCCAACATAGTGTATCAGGACACCCTGTGGAAGCCCACAGCAGCAGGAAACTGAGTCTGGCTCACAGCAGGGCTGTCTGAGGAGCTCAGCACTGAGGCTCTGGAGCCATCACTGCTTCCAGGCTTGGAGAAGTTCACCCAAACCATCAGTGACATTAGTCCAAATATCACTCCAAAGGGCAGTGAACTCTCCTGAAAAATAGATTTTAGACACAAGGGTTTCCAACCAGGACCCCCAGCTCCCCAAAAGACCAGAAACCATGACAGTCAGATCTACAGGACCAAGCATGTCAACTCAACTGTTGGCATGATGTTCACAAGTCCGCAATAAAAACAATTCATGTTGCCTCCAGTTATGGACTGAATAGTGTTCCCCAAATTCATATGTTGGAGTCCTAACCCCCAGTGCATCAGAATGTGACTGTATTTGGAGACAGGGTCTTTAAAGGATAATTAGGTTAAAATGGGATCATTGGAGAGGATGCTAATCCAATATGTCCTTATCTCTCCTTCTGAGAAGAGATTAGGACAGAGACATAGAGGGAAGATGATGTGAAGACACAGGGAGAAAATGACCCTCTACAAGCCAAGGAGAGAGGCCTCAGAGAAATCAAACTGGTTAACCCCTTAATCTCAGACTTCCAGCCTTCAGAACCATGAGAAAATAAATTTCTGTTGTTTAAGCCACTCAGACTATGGTACTTATGGGAGCCTGAGCAAATTAACACACACACACACACACACACACACACACACCCTTATAAAGGGGAATGTTCTATCGCTGTGCCCCTTGACTAAAATTACAACTTGAATATAACTTTTCTGTTATCTGCATGTGATATTCAAATTATAATATTAATAGGCATACACAAAAGCAAACAAAATATAATCAAAGTCTCCACTTTTATTCATTTTCCCCCTCTTTCTTTTTTACCTTGTGGTAAAACTTTAAGGTAATTCCTTCTGACATTCAGTTCTCGTAGAGATTTCAATTGACCTATCTGCTGGGGCAAGGCTGTGATCTCGTTGCAGCTGACATCCTGTATAGAAAGCAAAGAGAGAAATAATAAATGCCTTTTTCCAGGAAATCAAGCACTTCATGCGCAATCTCGTTAAAGAATTTAAATGTGAGGACAACTACACAGGGAGACTTTCATATTGGTCTCTAGGTTCCTAGCCAAGTAAGGCTGAGCACAGAGGAGAAATGGAAAGTTCAACAATTTAAACAATCTCTAAGAAAAGAAAAAGGAAAAAGAAGGATGTTGGTAGCCTCCAGCAACTACTCTGCCAGCCTCTTGGCCTGCCACTTTCACATGCTTCAATCTTATTTCATTCTCACTTGAAACTCATGAGGCAATATTACTAGCCTAATGCTTACAAAACAGAAAAATGAAGCTCAGAAAAGTTGTCATTTGTCTAAGTCTTGCAAGTGCCAGAGCTAACACTTGGAAAGAATGACCAGCCCCACTGTTCAGCCCCTCTCCCATAAAACCTCTAAGTAACACCTTACCAAATGCTCACATTTTACAGAGAAAAACTATAAATATCAATGCATTGTTCAGATACACTATTTATTTTAAATGGAATTATCACTAGAGGGCTGGAAACCTTGGACCTGAACACCTTTACCTACATTTTACAAACAAGTCTGTGGGGTGTGTAGATTGTGTCTTCTTTGCTTTGGAAGATTAATATTCTATTAATTATTGATTTGAAACAGCTCTTGATACATGCAAAATGGAGGCATGACATTTCAAATCTTATATATTGTTATTATTTTTCTTAATCCTACCCTTCCTCTTGTCTCCGGTAGCTCTGCCCTGCTCTCCACCCCTCATCCCAGGTACTCCTTTAGTCGAGACCAGCGATTTCAACAGGTGCCACAAAAATCTTTTAAACATGCAATTCCTGACTATGTAGTCAGAGGCATTGACCTCTTTTCCCTTAGACTTTCAAATAATAATAATTATAATAATAATAACAATAATAATAATGGACAAGAGCCAACACAACAAGAGCTGTCCAGTGTGAATTAATCAAAATCATACCTTTTTCTTTTTTCAGATCAGCAAAAAATATATTTCTTGGTGTGTCACAGAATTTTACTAAATAGTTTATGTGTGCACCATGGCATGAAAAAGGTTGAAAATCGGTGCTTTTCTCAGCTAAACACTATAATGGTCTCCAGGTTGGTTTCCATGTTTAATTCTCCTCCCTAGATCCATCCTTCCCAGAGTGAAAATTTACACAGTATAAATATCATTGTCATTCACTAGCTTAAACATTTGCAAAAGCTCCTCAGGGACTACAGGACAAAGTTCCAAACTCTGCAGCAAGGCCCAGCTCTAGGATGCAGGTCTGTATTTCTCCAACACCATCTCTCTGAATGCCCTCCCTTGCATCCTATACTGGGTTATTGCTGCTTATAGCTCCCAGTGTGTGCCAAGTTGTTGCACAGCCCCAAAACTTGTTCAGGCTTTTCCCATGTCTGGAATTTCATTCATAAGTATTGTCTTCTTGTCCCATCTACTCATTTTTCAAGGCTTAATTCAACCCTCGCCTCCACGCTGAAACCTTTTTGAGACTTCCACCACCTCTCCTGCTCCAACATAACACCCAGGGAGAACTGACCACTTTTCCTTTGTAGTCATACAGATAGTCTGTTACTGTATTTATCTGCTCAAATGTTTCTCTTCTCCTGAAAGTCTGTGAGCTCCTAGATCAGTTGTTCTCAACCTGTGGGTCGCGACCCCTTTGGGGGTCGAACGACCCTTTCACAGGGGTCGCCTAAGGCCATTGGAAAATGCATATTTGTAATTAGAAATAAATATTTCACAATATATAATTACATATTGTTTTTGTGATTAATCACTATGTTTTAATTATGTTCAATTTGTAACAATGAAAATACATCCTGCATATCAGATATTTACATTACAATTCATAACAGTAGCAAAATTACAGTTATGAAGTAGCAATGAAAATAATTTTATGGTTGGAGGTCACCACAACATGAGGAACTGTATTAAAGGGTCGTGGCACTAGGAAGGTTGAGAACCACTGTCCTAGATGGAAGAGACCATGTCTTATTCACTCCATCCTTTTGGTGCCAAGCAAAATGCCAGGTATAAGGTAAGGAATCAATAAATGTTGCATAAAATTCTAAGTCTATTGCTGTTGACACTCAAATACTGCAGTTTACTCTGTCTCACTTATGGGACACAGGATGCTCCAACACACATGCCAAATGTCTTGCACCTCCATGGTATCACAGAACCACAGATATATTTGGGCTATGAATGATCCCAATGAGATCAAGTCTTTAAGTATCCCACATAACTGCTGAACCTGCAAAAAAACCCTCTTTCACTCTCCCTTTTAGAGCAGCAAAGCCTCATTTCGAAATTGGTTTCACATTCATTCAGATAAGATGAACCATCTCCCTGAAACCCTGGGCTCCAAGTAAAAGCAGGGCCATACAGAACACAGCGGACTGCCGCTCTCTATCCTCCCCTCATCTAAACATCCTCGGGTGACCTGCTAATCTGTCAAGGTCATGAAGATACTAAATGAATATCACTTGATGAAGAGGAATAATATCACTCCTGATAAAGGAAGTGAACTGTAATCTATAAAGGCTGATGGCACACGTGTAATCAGCCTGGATGCTGTCTACCTGGAGGTAGCGTGTGATGAGCTAAGAACACTAGGTATTCAAGGGCATCACTCCCCTAAGCTTGCTGTTGGTGCATCACTCCTGCCCCAGAAAAGTCACACAGAATTTTATGAAAAATATCTCTAGTGTTTAAAAAAAAACCCACAAAACCGCAAGCACATCTGCAGAGACAAAAAGTGTCAGTAATTTCAGAATTAGGAGGTCCAGAGATCTGTCCAATCACTCTTGGTCCCTCAATGAGTCAGTAAATTACTTTGTCTTTCTGAATATACTTCTATGTATGAGAAGTGAAAAGTGAAATGTCTGCTTTCCCAATTCCTATGGCATTTGATCAGTCAGAGAAGTCAACAACCAAATCTTTCACAGAAAGCCTTATCTTTCTTTGTCTTAACCAAGTTACAAATAAGCAAAAGATACCATCCCATTCTACTTTTAAAAAGCCCTCACACAAATGGTACACAGGTAAGCCCTAGATATCTATGAAATTAAATCATTCTATTGGACTCATAAAGTCACACTGGTGATGTTTTGGGGAAGGGGTGTTGTGGGGGAAGAACTAGTGGGAATTATTTTCCATCTCTAGAGAGAATTTATGTAGTTGACAACTAAAATAAATTTTTATAAGTCTGTGAGAGAAAGACAGCATGAGAAAGACCCTTTTGTAATTCAGGGAAATTAGATTTTCAATGTGAAACTGACAATTTAAAGAAGATTCAAGCTCATAATTTTTAAAAATGCCTTTCTCTTGAGAGATAGAAAGAGAGAAGAGGGAAGCAAAAAGATATAGGCAGCATTTTCACAGCATAAAATCTCATCAGATTATTATCCCATTTTTTGTTTGTACTATAGTCATTTTGCATTTTGTTCATTACCCTCTAGTTAGCCAGAATTTAGGATATCCTGTTTCTCTAAATATAAAGTAAATTTTCCAACATATATTTCTAACATAATGACTTTATCAAAGAAGATCAACTCCCCTCAGCTATTAAATACTTATTTATCAGTAGGGAAAATGATAACCAATATACCTTTTCTTTTTTAAAGAACTTCACATGATAAAAGCGAGTTTTACCTTCTGACTTATAGAACTGGATATCTGTACACAATTAGAAACACAAAGTCCAATTGTCCACTCACATTTTAAAGGGTATTTGGTGAAGAACAAATTATTTTAATAATACTTTTTATTGCTGTCAGTTACTTTCTGTCCTACCAAGAGAATACAGAAAAAATGCCCAGGCTGATCTAGCATATAAGTGAGATAAAGACTTTTCACTGTAGTATAGCAAATATTGTTGAAAACTCTATTCAACTTGCCAAATTTAAGAAGTTATAAATTCCATCAAAAAAATTGAAACCCATGCCCTAGCTGGTTTGGCTCACTGGATGGAGCGTCAGCCTGGGGGGACTAAAGGGTCCCAGGTTCGATTCCGGTCAAGGGCATGTACCTTGGTTGCAGGCACATCCCCAGTGGGAGGTGTACAGGAGGCAGCTGATCGATGCTTCTCTCTCATCGATGTTTCTAACTCTCTATCCCTCTCCCTTCCTCTCTGTAAAAAATCAATAAAATATATTAAAAAAAAAATCGAAACCCTTAGGTAATTATGTCTTGATTAGCTGGGGAATGAGGAGGAGAAAGGAAAAGATAATAGATGCTTGGGGATAAGATATTTCCATTTAGAAAATGTAAAAGCAATATTCCTAGAATGGCCTGGTTCTCTAAAACATGTCTGTCCATAATTGGCCCAAGATAAGATAGGGTTGTGATTTTGTTTTTTTGTTTGTTTTTTAGTTTGTTAAAGAAAAGAAGATTTAAGAAAATAAATTAAAAAAAGAAAAACACTAACGGCTCACACTTCTGAAGTTAATTAGAATTTACCAAGCTATGAATTCCAGATTCAGTGGCTTCTTAGAATAGTCAAATGAATTCCTTCTGAATTATCTACTAGCTCTAAGCTATGTCTTAGAGAAAGGAAATTATTTCAAGCTTCAGTGATATCAAATTACCATATATTTAGTGTCACAATATTACAAATATACAGGTAGACCAAAAAATGAACCATAAACATAGAATACATATTTACTAATTATATTCTTTTTAACGGGAATAAATCTAATTATTAAATACTCGAATTTAGTTTTTTTATGGACCAGCCAGTTCAATTTTGTCATTTGGATTAAAAAAAAAAAGAGAAGTTTACCTATGACTTAAACTTACATTGCACTGGTTTAATCAACATGCTTTTAAGTAACCACATTCATCAGAGCCTTTCTAGGCAATAAAGGAAGTCTCTGGAAGTGTTAAATACATGTTGAAGATTAACACACTTTTGCTGATAGGTGCTAGTTGCTAGCTTCCCTTTA